TCGGCATGAAGCCTTTTCAAATCTCCAGTACTGAGATTAACAAGAGTCATTTTCTGTGCACAGATTCAAAACAAACCCTGCACTGCTGCGTTCCCTCAGTGTGACACCCACCTGCTGTGATGAGCAGCGAGCACTGCGAGTCCATGATCCTCTCGCACAGAGACTCCGCAGAGAAACCAGCAAACTGCAAAAACATCAGGAAACACACAGTGAACATCAGTCTGTTATTTAACTTCCATCTCAAGTCTAGGACTCGAGCTCTGATTCTCAGGACTTCTGACTCGACTTCTGGACTAAAGACTTATATTGGACACAACAAGTCTTTGGTGACTCAGGCTCGACATGGACTGGAAGTTTGGTGACTTGACTACAACTCAGGTACAAAGTGAAGAACTGTGCGTCCTCTCAGAATCAAACCGTGTGTTTCAGACTCACCACTATGGAGTGAACCGCTCCGATGCGGACGCAGGCCAACATGGCGACCACCAGGTCCACCACCATGGGCATGTAGATGGACACGCGGTCGCCCTTCTTCACTCCTGCACACACACGAGGAAGGAGACAAAAAACACTTAGTGAAGTTGTGGAGGAGCAATCACAGCTGTGGTATCTTTCACTCGGTGGTTTTTACCCTGACACTTCAGCACGTTTGCAAACTGGCAGACCCTCTGCAGCAGCTCTCTGTACGTCACCGTCAGCTCATCCCCGGGCTCGTTGCCTTCCCTGAAAGAAAACAGAAGACAACAACATGATTAATAAACACAAAGCTTAAGTCGCTGATTCAGCACCAAGTGTGTCTTTTCAGGTATAAAACATGTTCAGGCCTGACAGCTGATTAAGGATCAGTGAGCGTTTTTAGATGGTGCTCATTCTGTCAATCTATACGCATGTGAAGCTACAAGCTAACTATAGAGCGCTATCATAAGCATGCTAACACAACAATACAGGACACAGGTGATTGTAGCTCGAGCCGAGGAGAATTTTGGCATTCATTTGGAGATGTTCCTTTCATGACATCACAAGGGACAGTAACCCCTCGCCCAGGTGGGTGACACTCCCACAGCTAGGGGATGAACTTGTGTTTTCCTTGAGAGAGGAAGGTCCCAGCAGCTGACTGTTGTCTTCGTTTCAGCCCGGGTGACCACGCAGGTTAATCCTGTTGGGTCACCTGTGTCACTCACCTGTGTCACTCTGACCACACAACTCTCCACCGTTACAAAACAAACTCCAGCTCCGTTGTGAAACCTGACTTGACTCAACTTTCCTCTTTATCATCCTGAGCGGTTAGAGAAGTGCTCACTCACAAAAGTTTAATTCGGGGTCAAGCGACACACACACACACACGCACGCGCGCACACACACACACACACACACACACACAGAGGAATGGATGAGTTGTGACAGCTCTGCCTCTGCAGATCATTAAATTCCAGGCGTGTTGTTAAGAGAGGCTCGTCTCTCTGCATCACAGTCAGCAAAGAGAGGAGGCTGCAGAGCTGTGCACGGACACTTTCTGTGCTACAGATTCTTTCAGGACAGGATTCAGGATATCAAACCTACATGAATGTACGATTCTGGGATACCATGAAAATACCTCAAAGGCGGAGTCAGTAGAAATGTTTGTAAACACAACATTCAAACTGGGCCCCTCCTCCTCCTGAGCTCACTCTGCAGGACGTAGTCTGTACGTTTACTGCTTGAACCTACACTGAAAGCTAACGCACACTAGCACAAGCTAACCGCCTGTGCTCTACTTCCTGTTGGACAGGAAGTAGAGCAGTCTGTGCTGCGTTCCATCAGAGACACGGTTTTGCTCCTCCATGCCACACTGGACCTTTTTCCATGAGCTGCTGTATCCAGGGGGGTCGATGAGAGTGGATGCTCACACAGGTCACCATGTGGTGGACTCTGAAGCTTCAGTGTTTATCCAGCTCTGCATGGGTCTGTAAACCTTTCTGTGTTCTAACCTCTCTCCATTTTTCAAAAGCATCTCCAATATTGATCCTAGTTTGAGCACGTTTCTGCTCGTGGAGCTTATTAGAAACATGCAGAGGCTTTTTAGGTCGGGTACAATCACTTCTATCTGAACCACTTCTCTTGACCGCTTCCATCACTGCAAGTGTGGCGGAGTGCGCGCCAATCCGACTGAGCAAAACCACTATGTGGAAATTGGCAGTTACTGTTCTATAGAACAATTTGAGGTAATGTTGTAATTCCCACATGGGGAATACAAAGTGATGAAAACATCCTGATTCTCTTGGAGCCTCTAAGGAGCAGCGAGGCAAAGAGTACAGTTAACGTCACATGGCTGAATCACTGTGACACACACACACACACACACACACACACACACACACACACACACCTCAGAGTGTGTGTGTGCCAGAGTTTCTCAATAGCACACACTGTGTATCTGTGTGTTTTCCAGTAAACTGTGTGTGTGTGTTGTTGGTAGGAAGCGTGCTCACATAGCAGAAAGGTCTCTGTGACCCACTTGGCACGGAAGGCAGATGGGAGTTACATTTGCAGAATCTCTGACACGATGACAACGAAGCTCCAAGGTTTGAATCCGTCTCTAACACAGACTGAACACTGGAGTCGTGTGTGTGTGTGTGTGTGTGTGTGTGTGTGTGTGTGTGTGTGTGTGTGTGTGTGTGTGTGTGTGTGTGTGTGTGTGTGTGTGTGTGTGTGTGTGTGTGTGTGTGTGTGTGTGTGTGTGTGTTCACACACAGTTTGATTTACAGTGAGTGTGGAAACGACTTCGAACTGGGTGAAAAACTACAGAAACACGAGGGGGTCATGAGTGAGGCTCCTCTCAGGCCAGAGAGAAGTTTACGTTTACAATATTTAACCTAAAGTTAAACTGTTCACTCTTCAACTTCTACACATTAAAAGACAAAAAAGTGGCTCGTGTCATTTGTCTGGTAAATAAAATCCCATACTTTGAATTAGAGGGTGAACAAGTTCAATTCTAAACATCATTTCTGTTTCACACTCATATCAGGTCTGTAAGAGCGGGCATTTCCCCGTCTGTAACTTATCATCTGTGATGATAATGAGGTCATTTCTGCCACTGATTGATGAGGAAACACAGACACACAAAGTTGAACCAACAGAGCTCAACAGTTTGGTTCCTCAAGTTAAAATCATTCTCATCATATTCTCCAAAGGTAGACTGACCACGAGCAAACTCATTTCTACCTCTAACGTGTCTCTAGTCCGTCTTCAAACCCCCCAATTATAAGAAAAGTCCATCCTCTCCGTCTTCTGCCTGCTCCACTTTTCAGAAAATGTGTGCTCAAACAGGCCGTTTGAAGATTTTCCCTTCATGACATCACAAAGGGCAGTAGCCCCTCCCCCAGGTGGGTGACACTCCCACAGCTAGGTGTTTGTTCTGCCCTCTGAGTCTGCCTTCTCACCGTAAATAACAGGACATGGAGCGAGAAAGCCCGAGTACACCCAAAGCCCTTCCAGAGAGGGGGCGTGGTCAGACACAGCTCATTTACGTATTTAAAGGTACAGACACAGAAACAGCCTGTTCTGAGCAGGGCTGAAATAGAGGGGTTTATAGACATGATCAAATACAGGATCAGAGTGGATTTAGAACAAGAAACTTCACACACATGTTTTGAGGAGCTCTGAGACTTATTTACACTGAAGAAGAGGAGGAGGATATGAGACCTTTAAGAAGAACTTGGATTATACATAATCTCTGGGCAAAGAACTACACTACCCACAATCCTATAGTGTTAAGGTTATGTTTCTGGAAAGCACCTACCTTCTCTGGTCCAAACAAATCCAGAGCATTCAGGAGCAGAATCTAAAGTTAGAAGGAGGACATACTGGCTGCTGCATTGTTGTCAGAGAAGCCAGCACTTCAACATAGCATGTTTCCTTAATGTCTGATCAGAGAGGAAGATCACAACAATCCACATGTAAACAGAAATGCACTCATTGTTGGCAAACAAAAATATCAACAGCTCCATTCCTGGTCACAACGTGTCATTAAAACAACTATTTATACACGTTGTTGGTTTATTTGACAAAAAGTTTACTAAAAACTAACACAAGGTCACCACACGCTTGGCCAGCTCGCTTATCTGAGAATGTTGAGAGTGATAACAGCACCTACACAGATTTACCACACACACACACGCACACACACACATCTATTAATACTCGACAGTAAAACACACTGTCAACACTGTGGGGCTAAACTGAGACCAACAAGGAGAAATCTGACACTCTTCTCTTTGAACAAGGACGTCTCTTAAAATAAACAGAGTTAGAAGATGAAACTAAATAAAGACATGAATTATATCACCTCAGAGCGAGAGAGAGAGAGAGAGAGAGAGAGAGAGAGAGAGAAAGAGGGCTGAGATGAGGGCAAAGACTTTCATTCACATGAAGAGACAAAAGATAGCGATAGGAAACATTTCCTGCAGATTTAAGTCATTTCAGCTGTTCAAAAAAAAAAAAACAATCTCTCTGCTTCATTTAATCCCTCAGTTCCACTTGTCCCCGTCCTCTCCCTGGAAAACAATCACTTCAGAATCCCCCATGTAGGCTGCAACAGGGGACACAAAGAGGAGAGAGAGAGAGAGAGAGAGAGAGGAGAGGAAGAGAGACAGAGAGAGAGGAGAGGAGGGAGAGAGAGAGAGAGGAGAGGAAGAGAGACAGAGAGAGAGAGAGGAGAGGAGAGGAGAGAGGAGAGGAGAGGGGAGAGAGAGGAGAGACAGAGAGAGAGAGAGAAGAGAGGAGAGGAAGAGAGACAGAGAGAGAGGAGAGGAGGGAGAGAGAGAGAGAGGAGAGGAAGAGAGACAGAGAGAGAGAGAGGAGAGGAGAGGAGAGAGGAGAGGGGACAGAAGAGGAGAGGAGAGGGGAGAGAGAGGAGAGGGAGAGAGAGGGAGACAGAGAGAGAGAGAGAGAGAGAGGAGAGGAGAGAAGAGGAGAGGAGGGGAGGGGAGAGGAGAGGAGAGGAGAGAGGAGAGGAGAGAGAGCGTGTGAGACAGAGAAGAGTCTTTTGTGTTTGTTTGAAACAGAGCAGTGATGTGTAAGAAATGTGAGCTGATACTCGTCCATAAAGGAGTCTGCACAAAACCTCTTACATCACTCAGGCCGCCCTCACACTATCCAAACCCCTAACCCTATCCGAAGAGCCCGAACGAGTCCAGAACTAGGGGGAACAGTCGTGTTTCTGCATGGTACAGAGCAACTGGGTCTAGTGAGTGCGCCCGAGTTAACTTAAAGGAGATCTATTTACGATGTTTTCTGCTGCTCTGAACGAGGCGTTGCGAGAACTTGGCGTCAGGTTTAGAGCAAAATCATGGAGCGGAGCTGTAGGACACGCCCACCTGGAAGCCAACTCAAAATATCACTGCAATTGCAAACAGAGCTGGCCAATCAGAGGAGAGTGGACACGTGGGGAGGCGGGGCCTTAAAGAGACAGCAGCTGAAATGAAGCGTTTCAGGAAGAGACTGACATGAGGGATTTTACTGACGCCAGTATCAGATACACGAGGAGGTTTGTTGAGCTACAAATCTCTAAACGTTACTCAACAGGTGTCCCACAGTGACATCATCAATGGCGAGAGCGAGGAGTATAGATCTCCTTTAACCACACGCATTCTACTGATTTTGCACCCTTCATACCGCCGAAAACTTCAGGTTTTATTTGTGTTCTCTATCTGCCTGAGAAAGTGTTTTCTGTTGGGAGTGTTTCACTAAAGCCTCCTCTCTGCTTGTTAGTGAGTGTGTGTGTGTGTGTGTGTGTGTGTGTGTGTGTGTGTGTGTGTGTGTGTGTGTGTGAGAACACAGTAACAGGACTGAATAGCAGCAGATCGAATGAATGGAGCTGCTGCATCCACAAACTTCCACTCCCTACTTCTTCTCTTCTCTCCTGCAGCTTTCTCTCTTCAACACTCGGCTCTTCTTCTTCTTCTTTTCTTTTTAGTTTGTCCAACTTTAAATTGTTAAACTTCATGTTCTGCCTTTAAGGCCTCTTTTATAATCTTTTTTAATTTCTCTCCTCGTAGTTGAAGACGGGGATAGAAAAGAAAAAGAACTAGGAGGAGGAACTTGATTTGGCGCAAGACAAACTTACACAATCACATCCTGTTGGGTTTGAAACTGCAGAATAATGCGACCAAATGAAAGAAGAAGAAATAACCGTACAGAGCTGATAATAAGCCGTTTTCACATCGGCACTCCGGAAAATATCTAGATCATTTCAGGAGGATTGCTCCGGAGATTCTCCTGACCTGGCCGTTCACATATGCTCCTCGCAGTATCATGCTAACAGTATATAAATGTCACTTTCCCTCCTATTGGCTCGAGGTGAATTCTCCTGATAATATCCTGCTGCGTTCTCACATCAGCTCACTCAGAAAAAATGTGTCTGTTCGCGATCACACATGCAGCTCCTCAGACGAAATACCACAAAGTTTTCAGGAGTTTTCTGCATGTGTGAGAGCTGGAGCTGAGGCGGGTTTTAAACCTCCTGACAAACCGTTACACCGCGCCCACCTGTCAATCAGGTCAGCTACACGCCTTATTGTGAATAACTCTTATCCTTCATCAAATCAAAACTGATGAGTCATCAAAACATTCACCCCCCGTACAGTGTGTGTCCATCCAGACATGAGCTAATCACACCTATTTGGTTTTTTGAACCAGGCTGTAAACATGTTCATCTCCGCTGTAAAAACAGGCTTTTTAGAATGGGTGTGTATGTGACTTCCTGTGCTTCTGCAGCCAGCCTCTAGTGGACACTCCAGGAACTGCAGGATTTTACACTCCATGCATCAGCTTCATTTTTTAACCCCAGAGGTTGCTGCTTGGTAACACCTCTGAAACCAACAGATGAAACGTGACACTAACCAGTGGAAGGCCACTCTGTCGCCCAGTTTCCTCTCGTGGACGTTGCGGTCGAGCACGTTGTAGCAGATGTTGGTGGTGGCGCCGTCCATGCACTTAATGAATATTTCTCCTTTGGTCACGTCGAAGTTGTAGTCGAGGAACGGACCCGTGTGTTTGGTCTTCCAGAAGAAGTCTTTGGCGATGTCTCCCCAGAACTCTGCAGGAGAGGAGGAGCAGAGGGAAACGTTAAATCACATTCAGTGACGTCCAACAGACCGGAGCTGCAGGTATGTCGCTGCTTTTAATGAGACACTTGTCAAAATGACAATAGGTGAAATTATTGCATGTGTCTCGATACAGTCAGAGGGACCGGTCCCGTCAGAACCGGACTGACAGCTGCTGAAACAGCGAGGCACCAACTTTGAATTATTTGTGCATTCTTAAAAAATAGAAAAGGAAAGCCGAACCTTTAACATGTGAAACGATAAATACAAGAAAATCACATAAATGTTAAAAAAGTCATCACTAACTCTGGGTTCCTGCACATTTATGAATCAAGATTTAAATATTTTAACACAGAAGCGTCGGTGCTTTTCAGGTTTCATGTGGAACTGAACATCTGTGAATCTGTCCAACGTTTAAAAGCTTTTTTGGATATCTTTAAAGTCGACTCATAATCCTTGTTTACATTTTCAGTTTCCTTAAAGACTTCTCTGACAACAATGCAGCAGCCAGTATGTCCTCCTTCTAACTTTACATTCTGCTCCTGAATGCTCTGGATTTGTTTGGACCAGAGAAGGTAGGCGCTTTTAAGACACACCCACACGGCCCGTTTTGGACGCCCCTCAGTTTGTCAGATATGAGAGCAGTTATCAGGTCAACAGGTGTTGCAGCGATGGAAGCGGTCAAGAGAAGTGGTTCAGATAGAAGTGATTGTACCCGACCTAAAAAGCCTCTGCATGTTTCTAATAAGCTCCACGAGCAGAAACGTGCTCAAACTAGGATCAATATTGGAGATGCTTTTGAAAAATGGAGAGAGGTTAGAACACAGAAAGGTTTACAGACCCATGCAGAGCTGGATAAACACTGAAGCTTCAGAGTCCACCACATTACTAGGGGTCAGAGTTACGTACTGCTCCTTTAAGTTTATTTTACTGCCAGAATTGTGGCTCCCAACATTTGTCTCTAACTTCAGCTGGTTAATGATTTCCTCGCTGCAACTGTCCCGCTCATAATCACAGATCTCCTGTAAAGGACTTTTACGAGGCTGTTTATAATTAACTTATTGTTAACCTCAGTGACCTCAAATCAAAACGTCTTCCTTTCTAAACTCTGCAGAGTGTATTCACAGTCTCCTCCTGTGGGCTGAACCCGTTTGATTGTCGCTCCAGTTTCACTCTGAAGTGCTTCATAAAACCTCCGCACTTCACCAGGGCGTGACCCGTTTGATTAACAATAGCTGCTTCCTTATTACCAGGAAACAACAAAATAACCCCTTCAGTGCCGGCTGTCTGCACGTCACATTTACATTTAGAACATCAAATACTACTTTTTTTAAACGAGGCTGGATTACGAGGTTTTGTTGACAGACTTATCGATGAATCCTTTCAGGTCTAGCAGGCTGCAGCTGACAAAGGAGCCATTTTTAAAGAGAGCACAAAACTATTTTTCCATGTTGTGATAATGATTTGAAGTGCAGATAAATAACATTTGATAAGTTGGGACTTTATAACCGACTTCGACCTCTTAATCATCAGACAAATCCAAACGAACGCCAACGCACGCAGGAAACTGCTACAAGTTTGACATTTATTCCCCTTTGACATGATGCAGGTAAACTCCTTGATCGTGGATTGGGGGGGGGGGGCAGTAGCTCAGTCTGTAGGGACTTGAGAGGGTCGCCTTTGAGCAAGGCACTGAACCCTCAACTGCTCTGGCATGCTCCCTGTGTAGCAGCCCCACTCTGATATCTCTAAGTCTCTAAGTCTCTATCACTAAGTCATGTCCTGTGTGTGTGTGTGTGTGTGTGTGTGTGTGTGTGTGTGTGTAGCATGTCTCTCAATAACAGAGAGTTTAATCAGAGATTTATAGTTAAGTATCTTAATTTCAAATGTAAAAAAAAAAAAACATTTAGATGACGTCATGCTGTAACAATAAACAATAAAACAACAATAAATGACTTTTTTATGTTATTTTGTTTTATAACTCATTTTCCAGATTTTAATCAGAGTTTAACTCTTGATCATAATAGTTACGATTGAATTGTCAATTAATTAAGATTATTATCGTATTCTTTGTTATTATATTAAATGTTTAAAGTTTAAATAAAGTATAAAGTTTTACTGTACTTTTTATTTCTTCTCTGGTTTCTGTTTCTCTGACTGGATGAAGCTGTTCATAAAGTGTTACAAAGGTGAACAAACATGTACTTTACATCATGCTGAGGCCTTACCATCCGGGTTCTCTATAGATCTCAGGTAGAGCTCTTTATACTTCTCAAAGCTGGAGATGTGAGCCTCTTCCTTCAGGTCTTCAGACCCGTGGAAGACGTTTTCCTTCGGCGCTTTATCCGGAATCATCTTTATTTTATTATTTTATAAGTTTAAGGAGAAAAGAAAGAACACCAGCAGACTGTTTCCGGTAGAGAACAGTCAGAATATCAACTACAGGCTGATTTGTTTCCACAGATACTCAATAAGAGACTCTGCAGGACTCTGCACAGTCTGAGCTGCAGGGCAGGCTAGGTGCTAGCTGGCAGCACACTTCATTCACACTTCCTTGTTTTTGCAGGTTGTGTTTTGTTGCCGTTTCGTTGAAACTTGACGTGCAAAAGTCGAGTTCGGATCCGGATCGTGCAGCTGCGGGTTGAAGTCAAAGTGTGGATCAGTTCTGGTGCAGCTCCGTGGGTTTGTCTCCTGAGGGTGGACAGAAAGAGTCCCGCACGGACGGACGCGGGTGACTGGTTGTCCTGCTAGGCTAACAGGCTAAGCTAGCTCACTCCAAGCAGAAGAGACCGCGGGAGATGCACTTCACGCGAGACTTGAGGCCTTTCCTTCTCAGGTGTACGCAGGTAAAGACTTCCTAAAAGTCGAGTTCAGAGTCTTCTTCCAGTCAGCAGAGTTTGTTTCGTGTCGGACGGACAGCTGCGGCTCTCTGCTCCGAGCGTGTGGCGCTGAACTGTGTTTGGCCCAGACCAGCAGCCAATCAGAGCGCCCCGCCCCCTTCATGTACGTATAGAAAGCTCGGAAATTAAACCACCTCTAGTAGTGAAAGTGACACCTCGTTGCGTTCAAGTGAGTGTTTATCGTTTCACGGAAATGTCACAACTTAAAGATTTTTTCAGTCTTTAAAAAAGTTGGAAAAATAATGACTCGTCAAGTCGTACATTGATTAAAGCCCCCCATTTTTTATGAATCTGTTGATAATGTGTTGGGATTTAGATGTACAAGATACGACGGAGTATCATTAAGGTTACTTTAAAGAAGATTTCAACATTAAAATCGCTAATTTACGTCTTTGTCAAATCAATAACTGATTAATCAAACCGGAAGTATCAACATTCATCACACACTACTTGGTTTTTAAGTTTAACTTCAAGAGAAGAATAAAATCGTAAATTAACGACTTTATTCTTGTTATATTACGACCTTAATCTCCAAATCTCAGATGTTTTTAGGATTCAGTCAGGCCCTGTTACTCCATCATTTTCTTCTCATTATTTTATAGTATTTTATAATTACTGTTTCCTTCTTCTTCTTGTTTTTGTTTCTGTTTTTAATACTAGTATTGCTGTTGTCTTTCGAGCTGATTTGCCCCGATGGAGGGTCGATAAAGATGATCTGATCTTATCTTCTAATTCTTATAAAAGGTCTGTTTTTTAATGTCATCATCTAAATGTGAGACTTTTTTTAAACTTTCAACAGTTTAAATGTTTGTAGTGAGAATTTAAAATCCACCGTCTCTGTTTAGTCTCCTTTAATGTCTGATAATGATTTAAAATATAACTTTTATATTTAGACTCTTTATGTCGTCTTTGATTGGTGGTTTTATGAACACAAAGAGCTCGCAGTTCATTTATTAAAGAGTTCTGCCTTTAAAATTAATGAATGTTATCATCATAAACAAACTTTTGTTCATAGAAACATTTTTATTTCACATTTTGATCAATTTATAGCCGTGAACTCTTTGTTATCAAACGCTGCCCCCTGGTGGACAATCGTGTTTATTCACTTTAAATTGAAATGAGAAGACGTCATTTCCATCTCTGGTCTCACAAACACAGCAGGGGGCCTTCCCCACCCGAGGAACCTACGAGACATGAGAGGTCAGGAACCCCCAGGAAGATATGTGGTCAGTAGCAGCATGCAGTAATATGATGTGAATGCAGAGAGAGAGAGAGAGAGGAGAGGGAGAGAGAGAGAGAGAGAGAGAGAGAGAGAGAGAGAGAGAGGAGAGAGAGGAGAGGAGAGAGAGAGAGAGAGGAGAGAGAGAGAGAGAGAGAGGAGGGAGAGAGAGAGAGGAGAGAGAGGAGAGAGAGAGAGAGAGAGAGGAGAGAGAGAGAGAGAGAGAGAGAGAGAGAGAGAGAGAGAGAGATGGGAACTCGAGGTGTCAGTTCCCCTGAACAAACAGCAGGGGGCGGTGTTGCCCTGCAAGAGAGAAAGAGAAACATCGAGGGGACGGTAACAGCTAAGTATGGAAGTTGAAAGTGTTGTTGGGTACTTTGAAGGGTCTTCTTCCAGCTCTGTGTGAGGAGGAGGGGGTGACGCTGTGGAGACCCCCGGGGACTTTCTGACGTCATAGCTCTGGACTGTTTGAGGTCAAAGGTCAACCACAGGACAGAAGGATCATGTGTGACTCACAAAGACAGCTTTGTTTCTTCTTCTTCTCTTCTTCTTCTTCTTCTTCTTCTTCTTCTTCTTCTTCTTCTTCTTCTTCTTCTTCTTCTTCTTCTTCTTCTTCTTCTTCTTCTTCTTCTCTTCTTCTCTTCTTCTCTTCTTCTTCTTCTTCTTCTTCTTCTTCTTTCTTCTTCTTCTTCTTCTTCTCTTCTTCTTCTTCTTCTTCTTCTTCTTCTTCTGTTCTTCTTCTTCTTCTTCTTCTTCTTCTTCTTCTTCTTCTCTTCTCTTCTTCTCTTCTTCTCTTCTTCTGTTCTTCTTTTCTTCTTCTTCTTCTTCTTCTTCTTCTTCTTCTGTACCTTTAAATATGTAAATGAGCTGTGTCTGACCACGCCCCCTCTCTGGAAGGGCTTGGGTGTCCTGGGCTTTCTCGCTCCATGTCCTATTGTTTACGGTGAGAAGACAGACTCAGAGGGCAGAACAAACACCTAGCTGTGGGAGTGTCATCCACCTGGGGGCGGGGCTACTGCCCTTTGTGATGTCATGAAGGGAAAATCTCCAAACTGCCTGTTTGAGCACACATTTTCTGAAAAGTGGAGCAGGAAGAAGACAGAGAGGATGGACTTTTCTCATCATTGGGGGGTTTGTAGATGGAATAGAGACACATGTTAGAGGAACATGGAGAAGAGGATTTTGATGTGACCTTTAATAACAGTTTGAGTTGTCTAGCTTTTGATCATCAGCACCAGAATAAAACTTTCATATTCACTGTGCTGGTGAGGTGAAGGTCAGGTGTTCAACATATTAACTCACAGAAAATCACGTTTAATAATGGGACACATTTTCAGTGAATCATCAAACAGCAGAGTGAAGCCAGATTCTTTTTTATTGTTTCTTTACCTTCAGGAGTTCAAACACACGACTAAATATTCAGCTGACTCCTCTGTGTGATCATTTCATGCTACATTTTCTCGTCTCCGAGTGTTTTAATCGTGAAACATTCACCAAATAGACAGGACGACTGAAATTAAATCTGGAAGCTTGTCAGATCTTAAATTCAGTGCGTTTGAGGAGAAAGAAAGATGAAGTTACGGCACTTTGCACATCTCCGTTATGAAGAGCAGACGGTTTAGAAAGAAAAGAAAAAAAAGAGATTAAACATCACTCTTTGGAGTCAGATTGTAGTTCTCGTAATCTGTCTTTCTCAAGATCGACTTATGAAGGTCTCTGCCTCATCTCAAAGGCATTTTGACTCAGACTGGGAGGACTCCAGGTTTTAAATCAAGACCGCAACTGATAGGATATTGTTCCAAGTCATTACTCTGAGTAGAATGAAAACACCTCTTTTTAAAAGAACAAATAACTTTAATTCATGTTTAGTTTGATTTTTATTCCCCTGGTAACAGCTGCAACCTTCTCGGTGTTACGTTCTAAGTGAGGATGATTTTTCAGAGATATTTATGGTCTTGGTCTTGTCTTTACTCGGCCCCGACCCCTAAATGTTTTGTCTTGTCTCTGTCTTGGAACTCTGGTCTTGGTTTGTCTTGGTCTTGACTACACTACTTTGGAGAGTTTAAACGAGAGGTTCATTCTGAAATAAGTGAAAATTCTTTCTAAAAATTCAGATTATTTAAGTTTTAATGAAGAGACGTGGAGTTGTTCTGCTTCCTGTTGGACAGGCGGGTGACAAACACCAGCAGTTAGCTTGTGCTAAATTATCATTTTCTTTACAACAAATGTTAAGTTATCAGGTAGCTCGCAGTAAACGTTCACACTACATCCTGCAGTGAGTGAGAGCTTCTGGCGGCGATGAGCCCAGGAGGAGGGGAGGGGCTCAGTTTGAACATTTTCTTTACAAGCCGTCACAAACATTTTTGCTGACTCCACCTTTAAATTATCCCCCCCCCCCCCATGACCGTCTGATGGAGGCGCGTTGATCTGCTTCACCCTGACACATCCCAGCTTCCGTCCACATTACCTCCAACGTTGTTTATTTTCAGAACACATAAAAAAAATGTGACTAACAGTACAAACATTTGTCCAATAACAGCAGAGACTTACATTAAAGTAGAACAAAAAACAAAGCTATGAAAAAAAAAGTATCTGTTATGAATAAGCCATCGATAAAGTTATGTACTACAACAAGAACATGTCGTCATCGTCTACTGTGTTTCAATGACTTACAAACATGTCAAAGAATGACACGTGACAGCGTCTCAGTTAGATCCACGACGTACAATATGAGTTTTAAGATCGGGATGAAAGAGGAGAAGGGGGGAGGGAGGGGACACCTGTCTTACATTCCCAGAAAGGAATATTTAGATTCAGTGGAAGTCTGACTCGTTGCTCCCACTTTGTTTCAAACTAAAATCAGTAATCAGAGCAGACTCGATGGTCCGGCTACATGTAGAGGACAGTCAGAGCTCACAGTGTTTGGATCGCCCGCGCCCCATGAGGAACCAGTTTTATTTGGGCTGGGGGCAGATTAAGGCCTCTGTATGAAAACAGTGCATGTGCTTTAAAAACAGACGTTCCAGAAGACTGAACGTACAAAAATATCACCTGTGATTTGGCAGCTTGTAACTGTTTTGCACGTTTTTTTTGCCAAACACCTGACATCAACTTAAGGTTTTAAGCCACTTTGCTGGAATTTTTAAGAAGTGCACATTTAAGAAAGCCTGCAATGTGAACACAGTGAGGTGGAGAGGGGAGGAAGCCCTTTTCTCTACTGGTGTGGCTTCAGCACACAAATTAAAATCTGGTTGTAATCGTTGAGTGACACGAGGGAAACAAGCGTGCAAAGACTGACAGCGGCGAAAACAAAGAAAAGGAAAAACAGACAAATAAAAAATCAGAATGGATGTGGGGAGGGGGGGACGTGATAAAACAGTAGCATAACATTTACAAAAGCTCTTCTGAAGCTGAACAGGACACAAATCAACAAGGTTTCTTGTGGGAAAAAGGCAGAGAGAAGACCCGGCTGTCACGTCGTCCCAGAAGGAAGCCTGCGTTTTTCGTAAAAATCGAGGAGTTCCAAGGACATTTTAGTGCATGACTTACAAAGTTCAAAGTTCACTGACTTCTTATTAAACGGAGCAGAAGGCGCGTCGAGATACCAGAATGTTAAACTATGATACCACTGCATCAAAACTACAAGTCCAAGGCACCTGATATTGGTTCATTTCAATCATGCAGTCAAACTGGTGCACAGTCTGAACTGCACAAACACATCGGCAAGTTCCTAAAATGCTGCCCGTGCTTTTGTGAAAGTTGGACAAAGTCTCTCTAATGCAGCCGTCAAATGGAATAGATGAACTTCTGTACTTTTTAAAATACTATTGGTCAATAAAATAACTTTTATT